TGATGTGGTGCAATAGTAATGCAGGGGTGTATTGGAGCAAAAATGACCAAGCCCAAGTCAGAAGGCCCAACGCACTGGAAATTGAAAAAAAGAAAATGTTCAGGAAATAAAAGGTAGCGCGCTGGTTCGAACTCACGCCCTCTTGGTTACCAGCGCGCTGCCTTGCCACTGGGGTAGCTTGTACATCCGTTAGTCTAAATGAAAACATAAATACATAACACAAAACATTGCCTTGCCTTGTACTTCATCTTCAACCTCTAGCCAGCCGGACCCCCTGTAACTTTTTCATTTCTCAACAAAAACGGAAAGTGATAACATGAACATTATAGCATTTTACCTAACGATTCTAAACATGTGCATAACTAAAACTATAAGTCCAAGATCAGAGAGAAATGGAAGATTCAGTTCACAAGTCAGAAATGGCAAGTTTGGAGGCTTAGTCTGCAACTTATGATTCTATGGTGTTTAAAGGCTTGGGCATCCGTGGTTTTAGTTGCAAAATGATGGCTTTATATAGAGCAAAAGGTTGGAGGACTTGTGCTTGCTCAGAAGTACAAGATCACATGTCTTGCTACATTTCTTGTTTTTGAAGCAAGTGTGAGAAGTGACTTCTTAAGGCATGATTCTGATCTTGTAGGGTGGCTTGAAGCTTTAAACATGTTTTGTTCAGGTTTAGAGGCTTGGTTTGTGCAGAAAGAACAAGTCCAAGGCTCAAGAAATGGAAAAATACAAAAAGTATGCTTTTCCAAAATGGCAATGTTGCCTTTCTTCCAAAAATGGTTATTTTCTTGTACAATGCATTGAATGCTTGGCTTTAGGGCATGAAATTTTATGAAATCTGTTAATGGTGGAGTGACAAACGAGTTTGAGGCCTGAAAAGTGAAGATTGTACAGCCAATTTGCAAATTTGAAAACTTGTTCTTCATGAAAATGACCTATAATCAAAGTGATAAAACCCTAACTTCATCTCTTCGATTCTCTCTACTCAAGAATGATCTCAAGGAGTTCTTGGATATTTTGGAAAGCTTGTAATGTGCTCTACAACCCATCTTTGAAATGATTTTGAAAATTCATCTAAGAGCTAGGGTAAAAGTTACCATGAAGTTAGGTCAAAAACCTGCCTAACTAGGACAAAATTTCACTAAGTTATTTTAGTTCATGAGCATGTATTCACAAAATTATATCTTGAGATCCAAGAATCTTTAGGAGAAATTATGTGAAGAAAAGTTGTACATTTCATGGAGATCTACAACTTTCATGTTGGGAACTTCCTTTGAATCATTTTGTATCATGGTAAAAATTTGGCCTAAAGTTGAGAAAAAACAAGAAATTTTCTATGCTTAGAAAAATTTCTAAGTTAAAAAAAATTTCAAATTTCAAAACAAGATCTTCAATCCTTGATTTCTTGATGAACAAGTTTCACATTTTGACATGTTTTGATGAATTGTGATCCTTGGCACTTGAATTTGACCAAAAAGTTAAAGTTTGACTTTTTAGTATACAATTGACTTTTGACCAGTTGACTGAAAAATTCATCTGTTAATCCAATGAATTTGTAATGTTTTGAATCATGTCATTAGGTAAAGATGATGCAATTGAACTCTTGAAATCATGCTTCAAACCAATTGATCATTTGCTAAACACTATCAAAATCTATCTACAACACAAGATAGCAAAGAAAAAGAACACTTACTTGGAAGAAGAGTGAGGAGCGACGTTTGTGGAGATGAACACACAGAAGACGGTGTGGCGGTCTCAGCGAAACTAGGAAAACACGCGGTGTTGACGACAGAGAAAATATGAGAGCTTGAAAATGTGAAAACAAGTTATGGACCCTGAAGCCCTATTTATAGAGATGACGTGGAATACGAAACGTCGCGTCGGGGAATCACAAACCGCCTTCATCCTCAACACCTACTCGCGTAGACAATGACGACCCCTACTCCCTAGGCCACCATTGTGGTTTCCAAGAGCCACGCCACGTGTCTGACTAGTGTATCATCCTCTCCCCGCGAGTACTCCTCGAACACACTTCGACCACTGCACGAAGCAAATCACGAACCAGGCGACGTCTCACGTCCACGAGAGAAAAACCCTGTGTCGCGCAGCGAGTTTCGCGAAGGGGCGAACTTGAATTAAGTCGTAACTCCCTTACCAGGAGCAACGACTTGGGGGGCTCCTGTTCTGGACTGGGTCTGCCCTTGGTCCAATTACAAGTGAGGCCCGATCCAAGCTTGTCAACTTGCTGGGCTGGGCAGTATCTCCATCGAGCACACCCCGATCAAAGATATCCGGTCGACTATGATTGCTTCCCGTCGGCGCTCGCGGAGACCGTCCCCGACGAGCACGCCCCCCCCCCCCCCCCCCCCCCCCCCCCCCGAGCACCTTCCTTGTAGGGCTGACTTTCAACCTCTCCGGATTTCACGGAGTCTTCATGGTCCCAGAAAGATCGTGTCTCTATCCTCCCTGTCTTGCGGAGGACGTCATCCAGGTAGGGGACCATGTGCGGGTTCCCACTACACACGTAGAATCTGAGAGTCTCTTTGTTGGGCATATTTGATCAGCCCAATAAAGAGACCTTGACCCAGCACTTGAGGCTATAAATACCCTCTCTTTCGAGAGAGTCTGATATTCATTCATTCACACTTAAACCAATACTTGCTTTCTCATTCCGCCTCTCACTTTGCCATCAGAGTGTCTTGCAGGTACCCCCATCTCATTCAAACTCAACCTGAAGTCAATTGTGACGGTCTAACTCTAATCAGATCAATTCATATAGAATAAGGGTACAATTAAGTCTCACTCGTGTAACCTTAACATAATCCGTTAGATCTAATCAATGGTTTAGATTTATCAAGAAAAGTATGAGAACATTTATACACGATCACTTACAATTTTGCTCCAAATTCTTTTTCAATTAATGTAATTGCCCTTTTTGATAATTACGTGAAATTCTTAATTTCTATTATAATAGTAAAATTTTATAAGTTTTGAATTTATTCTCGGAATCACTGTCCGGCAGTGAAATCACTCTCTCAATCGAAAAAGCCACAGTTATGCTCTTTAAAAAATATTAAATTCAGATTTAAAGAAAAGTGTTAGAAATTTGCAAAAATGAAACATCTAAATTTAGTTCCAGATGAATATTCTAAGCCAAGGATTTGCTAAGAGACATGATGGAGTACTTGTATGTTGGAAGATGGAAAAATGGAGAGGAACGTGAAAGTAAATGAAGATTAGATTCACTGTAGTTGTAACTAACAAGATCAAGTACTATCATTTGATCTAATGGTTAAATTTAATGGTTCACCGGTGAGGGAAATGAACCATCACCATTCCTACAAAGTCTTTTAAAATATTCAAGTTTTTTTCCCAAGATAATCTCTTAAAATCATAATCCAATACTCGTAACTTTTTTTTGGATGATTATCCTGACAGAAGAAGAATAACCACCTCGCATCGGATGAAGTAGTAAGGGATTATCCTAATTGAATCAGAGACGGAAACAACCAAGAAAGTTCTTTGCGGAGAGTCAGTAGTGCAAAAAGGACCGAGTGTTCAAGCAAACACATTATTCATGTTGAATTTTTTCTTTCGGATATAAGATTATTATCAATGGATAATGTTAGAACAATATTTGATTCTGAAATAATATCTCTGAGTTTTGATGATAACAAAGAGTATGTTTGTATGAACAATTTTGGTACCCTAATATTTGCTATTTTTTAGTATCTAACAAACAAGTTCTGCTTTTGATGAATGGCGTGACCAAGACATTAGAAAAGACAAGTTCCGCTTATGCGCTACATAAATTCTGATGAACAGTGGCAAAACACTCTAGAAGACTATGAAGTGTAGGCTCTGATATGAAGTCCAAAGAAATCAAGTAAGAAGATCTGAAGACAAAAGTTCTAATAAACAAGTACAAATGCTGAAGACTCGTGTTTCTGAAGACAACGTGTTTCAAGAAACCAAGTCAGAAGATCTGAAGACAGAAGTTTCTACTGAAGTCCAAATGCTGAAGACTTATGTTTCTTAATGCAACGGATTCTCAAGACCAAGTGCTGAAGACTCTGAAGACGCGGTTCGGAAGACTCTGAAGACTTGAAGTTCTGAAGACCCAATGTTCGAGAAAAGGTTCTCAAGACCAAGTGTTGAAGACTCTGAAGACGCAATTCTGAAAACTCTGAAGACTTGAAGTTCTGATAACCTTAGTGTTATGTTCTCTCTTCTAACTCATGCTCGCAGTAGTCTCTGAAGTACAGAAGAAAAGAAGATAACTTAACGTGGTACAAAAGTACATGGTACAATCAAAACATTTTGTGATTCAATCCACCAAAGATTCTGAAAATTTCAAGAGTACCCCTAAATGGATATATTATTTTATTGGCTATAAAAAGGGCGTGAAGACTAAGAGAGAAAGCCGCTAATTCACTGATTCAAAATCTCACAAGACTGTCCATACGCTTTCTATTCTTTAGTCTGTATACTTGCGAAATATTGTTCACTAATTCGCTTGTTAAGAAGCATATCTTTTGTAAACAAACCTTGATTCAAATTGTTGTTTAATTTACCTCAAGGGACCAGTTAAGTCAGAATCCTTAAGAAGTCTAGGACTTGTTCGTTTTAAAGGTCATTATTATTCACTTGCAGTTAACTTGTACGTTGTAATAATCTGTTTGATTATTGGATTAAGACCTTAGTTGAGAAGACAAAATCACTTCAGCGGGTGGACTAGATTAACTTGATAGTTTTCAAGGGAACTAGTATAACGTACAATGTTCTTTACTTCCTGCATCTTATTATTAAAGATATTTATTTTTATTTGATTTAAAACCCAATTCAAACCTCCCCAATTCCTTAATAGTTATGTAAAGTATTATAGCAAAATGCAAGGTAGAAGAAAATAAAATCCTTGATAGATTTACTAATTTAGAGTTTATATCTAATCAAGAGACATGAAGAACTACAAATTCTTATCATCCTAATTTTAACAATGTTCACACAACCAATATTTCGGTCTTTTTATTCTCCAATTGTTTTAGCTCCTTACGCCAACCTTCTAGTTTTGCCAGCTTCTCTAACTGCTCTGGCTTTAAATCTTGCTCTCCAGTTTTCTCCTGGAGTGCTTCTGTAAGTCGAATCTGCACCCAACAGTCAGATGTCAAGAAAAATTGCACTATGTAAACCATAGTTCTTCTGCAGGATGAAGAAAATTAAAATACATGTACTATGTCATGATAGTTATCCCTGTACAATTGTATCACACAATAAAAACAAGTTCGAGAAAAAAGCTTGAAACTACGGATAGTCCTTTCCAACCAAATACTTCCTTGGGATGAAAACCACTCAAATGTTGGCACCAGCTTAAAGTTGATAGACGGGGAAGAATATAGAATAATGACACATTTTTACTTGGGCTTCTTGCTAAGCATTGACACACACAATTGATACACATTTGCAAGGGTGTCCGTGCATTATTTTTAGCATGTATTCACATTTGGTAGACAATAAAAAAATAAATGGCATGTTACATGGAAGTTACCAGCAAAAATAAACAAAGAAACTGAATGATTATTAGGCTATAGGATAAGGAGAAGTTTGTAACGATAATGTGATTAGAAGGTTACAACAGAAGATAAGGAGTTAGTTAAGGAGGTATGATTGAGTACTATAAACATTGTGAATAGAGTACTGACTCTATCGTAGAAGGGAGGAGTAGAGTTTTCTCTCCTATTCCTTCTAATTTTCTCAATGAAAGTGTTCTTTATCTAATTCTTTTCAACTCAATTCCTCGGTTCCTAACATAACCTATGGTAAAAGGACCAACCTACGTCCATGACCAACACTAGCGAAATTGTCATGTGTCATTCTAAATATCATCCAAAATTGATATTTTAAGTTGATATCATTTGCCTGACTCTAAATACCAACTTGAAATCAGTCCATTCAGTTTCAGATAATAATATTTATTACGCTGTAATAATAGTTGCAAATGAATTTTGTGCAGAACACATAAAAAGAGAATCATTCAAATTTCAAGCTATCTAGACATACATTACAAATAGTCTTTCACATTTACAAGAATTAACCTCATCAAACACTCAAAACCAATGAATGCTTATGTAACCTATATGACAACCATGTTTAAAAGGGATATAGATGTCAAGCTAATCTCCCCTAATGCAGAAAGTCCAAAGCATAGTACAAGTACCTTCTTTTTCAATGCTCGAATTCTTTTGTCTAAATCTTGAGGCTCTGAAGCTTCCGGAGAGTTGATGGTAGGAGTAACAAGAACAGAGCTATCTCCAGAAACAGCTAGTTCGTTGATCTGAGAAGTTAATGAATGGACAGCATTCTCCACAACTACCGCTTCTTGCTTTATACTATCTTCAACTACAGTTGATTCTAAATTAGTTTCCTTTACCTGAAATGGGATGCAATCACATCAATATCAAAACAGTGCCTAACTAACTAACTAACTGTGTATCGAAGAACAATACCTGAAGGCGTTTCTTTTCTTTCTTTCTTTCATTCCTCTTAACAGCTTTGGTTTTCGGTTTGGAATCCAATTGAGGATCATAACCCGGAGGAGGACCAATATGCGAAGCCATTTCTTTTCTCATCTGCAAAATTTCAAGAAACAGCAAAAGATTGTTGAACTCAAAATAGAGAGTTTAGGGTTTAGAGAAGAAGAAAACATACGAGTGCGGGTTTTGGTTGATAGATAGCGACTTCATCCGGAGGAACGTAACCGGGTCGGATTCGAATTTCTTTCCGCAATGTTCCGTCGGGTCGACGGGTCGAGGCGATGATTCGCTCGCCATCTTTAGGGCTTTTGTTAAGCTGCAGCTTCTTCAATTGCTCTTCGCCTCTGTCACTGGTCGCCATCACTACAAATCAAATTTCCAATTCCAACTATTCTTCGCCTTTAATACTCACTTTTTAATTTTTGTCTAACAAAACTAGCGTCAAATCATTATTTTTATCGAATGTAAAAATATATTTTTTATTTTTTATAAAAAATTGAGAAAAAGGATAATCAGTGTAAAATTTTTACGTTTCCAGTAAATTAAAATCTATTTTTTTTTAAATTTATATGACATTATAAAATAATATATTTATATTAAATGATAGTATAAATTTTTTATACCGTATATCTCCTTTAAAGTCTAAAAAAATAATACAATAAACAAGTATACAATAATATTTTTTAAATTAAAAATATTAAATATATATTAAAATATAAACATGAAATTTTAAAATCACTCGTTCCAAAACTCAGAATTCCCTTGTTATTTCGGGGTGGTTGCTTAGCAAACGATTTTTTGTTAAATTTTTTTTTATATTATTTGTGATCGTACTTGATCAGAATAGACCGTCACAGCTTATGTCGAGCAATACTTGAGATTGAAGTGAAAGGTGCCTGCAAGACACTTTGATGCCAAAATAAGATATAAAATGGTGCAAGCAAGTAAGAGAGTGAGAAATGTTCAATACCTGACCCTCTCAAGAGAGATGGTACTTATAGCCCTCAGTACTGGACCAAGGTCTCCTCATTGGGCTAGTCAAGCAGGTCCAAAGTGGAGACTGCTAGGTTCTACGTGAGTAGAGGGGACCAGCACGTGGTCCCCCACCTGGATGACTTCCTCTGCACGATCAGGAGGATATGTATGCGGTCTTTCCGGAGCCACGAAGAATCTGTGATATTCGAAGATATTGATAGTCAACCCTGCAAGGAGGATGCTCGTGGGGGTGCTTCTGCTCGTAGTGGATGCTCCCCGCCAGATGCGAGGTCATGTGGGAGGATCAGTCTTGGTCGAGGAGAGGATTGGAGGGTGACCTCGGGGTCCTCCTGACCAACGATGATCTTCCTAGGACTAATTGGGTTTATCCCCGTGTGGTGATGCTACCTCCTCGCGAAGAGTGGGAGTTGCTACCCGACACAGTAGAGGGAAGAACTCGCTAGCATACCTTGACCGACATAATTGGGTTGGGCCTCACATGGAGTTGGGCCAAGGGTAGGCCCAGTCCAGAACATGAGCCCCCCAAGTCGTTGCTCCTGATGAAGGAGTTATGACTTAAGTTCAGCTTTTTCTCTTACGAGGCGCGTCACTCGACGAGGATCTTTCCTTGTGTTGACGGAGAAGGTCGTCAGTACATGGGCTTACGCGAGCAGCGTTAGGAATGGATTCAAGATGGAATTATTCTAGTTGTTCCTCGACTCGCGGGGAGAGGAAAGGCTGCAGGGTGTAGACATGTGGCGTGACCTTTGGGATTGTAATGATGGCCTAGGGAGTAGGGCCATCAGTAACTGAGCGCATAGATGTCGAGGAGAAAGGCGGTTGATGAGCTGCCCAACGCGACGTTTCACATTCCACTCCAGCTCTATATATAGCACCCCAGGGCCCATTATTCATATTTACATTCTCGCGCTCTTCACTCTCCCTATTGCCAACACCGTATCGTTTTCTTCAACCGCTAACGCCTCTGCAAAATCCTACGCGTATTCTTCATCTACCCTCGTTATTCTTCATCTACTCTTGTCCAAGTAAGTATTTTTCGTGATACTCTTTGTTTGGATTGGCTTTGATGATATTTTAGTTATAGAATTTTGCAACTGAGGGGTTTTGCTCGGGGTATTCATGCGTACTATTCGTGATTGAGCCCGTGATATTCATCTTTTCACCGACACTTAGATGAATTTACCCCGTGGTCTCCATACGCCCCCGCGAAATTCATGAATTTTGCACAAGAAATTTATGCGATCCCCAGAGAATTCATGAGTTTGGCCGGTAAATTCATACTTTGCTCACCGTATTCATCCTGTGCCCGGAGTGTTCATGAAAACAAGTGTTTGTCGTTATGACTGTTGTGTGGTCTTATATGACTGGCGTGATTTTCACGAACTGATCGAGGGTTGTGTATTTCCCCTTTCTGCACGAGTGACTGTCGACTTGGTCTAGGCGCCGCATAACCTTTTCACCTGCGTCGTGGAGGGATGGATTTGGATTTGTTGTCGAATTCACCAGTTTCCTCTGCTTTACAGGTAAAATGGTCGACACTTCCGAATCGTTTGAGCACATGGACACAGAAGAGACCAACGTAGCTGAGGAGTGTGTCAACCTGGTTGACACGGTCGATGATCCTGCATTGGGTTGGGTCGAGGCAGAGCCTCGAGGAATAGCCTCGATATACAGTTATAGTAGGAGGTAGGCTTATACTGTCGTCTAGTATGGAGGCGATCAAGAAGGTTTCCAAAGGAACTTCAAGATCTTGCGACCGACGCCCGCCGCTCAAATATGCTCAGAGTTCGAGGAAGACCACTTCCCTATGTACGAGGTCGTATTCAAAGACTTGGGGCTTCGCCTTCCCTTCAACGATTTCTAGATGGGGGTGTTTAATCAATTGAACCTAGCACCCTCTCAGCTTCACCCCAACGCCATTACCTTCATCCAGGCATTTGAAATTACTTGTCAGTTCCTGAGGATCGGGGTGACTATTCCCCTATTCTTCAGGGTTTTTCATCTACAACGGCAGTCCCGGGGTGGGAAACACAACTGGGTCTCCCTCAAACAGTCGAAGAGGTTGTTCAGGATGTACATGGACTATGTCCATGATTTCAAAGACATATGGTATGTCGTGCAACCTTCTATTTAGGCAGTCGTGGATGTCGTGTTCGACCCGGCTTTTGTCGTGGATGAAGATGGTGAACCGTGTTATGATGCGGAGGCTAAGTCGGAGATTGGTGAATCTCAAAGTTTCCCATCCATTGGTGTTCAGTCCACTACGATCATGGTCCCGGACATTACCGTACTCCCGCCGGTGGCATGGGCGCTGAGGACGAAGAGGCATATGGCGTCCTTAATCGGTTCTTTGATGGGTTCTTCCCCGCCAGGTGGGTCACGAGAGAAGGACATGACATCCTCGATGAAGATGGTGAGCCGACGTTCGAAGCGCCCTCAATAAACACCAAGGCGCTCGTCGAGTTTCGTTCTTACAGGCAAGCCGTGAATCTCTTAGGTTTCTGCTCGCTTGATTTTACTATATTTTTACTTCTTGACTTGACTTCTTTTGTTTTCTCGTCGAGGCTGACCCGAGGATACTGTTTTTGTTTTTGCAAGTAACATGGAGGAGCGCCGTGAGAGATTGTTGAAATTGACCTAAGAGAAAAAGAGCCATAAGAGGTTGTGAAGCCGCACTAGGCTACACGCATGTGTTCAGTTTTTGAACCGGTCAAGGAGGAATCAAGTGGGTCTCTGGGCACCCGCGATGCTGAGCAGCATGCTACTGGGTTGAGCAAGAAAAGGAGTCGCCCAGAAGTTGGGCTTGCTGATGTGATTGAGGGAGGGGCGACTGCCTGAGCCTTCAACCTACCGCCCTGTTTCATGGAAAAGGATTTCTTCAAAGGCTTTCCTCTAACTGTGTCTGACAATGAGTCTGACATCATCAGGAGACTCGACGAAGAGGGTCGAAGGAAGCATCTGGCTTCCAGCATGGTCGGGCTGATGAAGGTGGTAGAAATGGTTGTGGTCCTTGCAGGCGAAGGGGCCAGCTCTTCTGGTCGGGTCAAGGAATTAGAGTCGGAGAAAGCGACTCTTCAGGCAAAGACACGGAAATTTAGGTCCGCCCTCGAACGAAGCGAGGAGATGTTTCAGGAGTCGGCCGATGCGCTGGCGGGGGAGAAAGAAAGAGCTAAAAGGCCCTCGAGGAAAAGGATTGTCTCCTGCTCGATAAAGAACTGTGGGAGAGCGAAAGGGAATGGATGGAGAGGGAAGTCGCTAACCTGAAGGCTGCCATGATGCCCATAGAGGGCGAACTCGAGGGGGTAACTGATTTGTGCACTTGCGCTGATTTCGTTGCTCGGATTCAAATCCTCGAGTCGGAGTGCATTGATGCTTTGGCCGGCAGATTCGAGGTTGTCGTGAACCAGCTATCTGTATTGAACCCGGGGCTCAACACCGAAGGAACCGGGGTTCTGCCCAAGGTGATTGATGGCCGGGTGGTTCCTCCTCCTGACTCTCCTGAGGTCGAAGTGGGCACTCCGAGGAGTGATTATCATTTTTTTAGATAACTTAGCTATTTGTATTTGGGTCTGCGTACCCGTAATTTTTTTGTAACATTCAAACATCGTCGACTCTAGCGGTCGACATTTATAAATGCTTTACTTTGCTTTAATTTCGTTATGTTTTTGCTGATGCTTGCTTATTTTTTGCTCGTCATTGTTTTTTACTTATTTATTCCATGAATATTTGTATATTCCATGTGTGGAGATGTATGTTCGACCTTTGTTATGATCGATACAATTTCCATGAAAGTTCGTGTTTTCCATGTGTGGAGATGTATGCTCAACCTTTATATTGTCTGGCACATGTTGGGATGCGTCGAGGAGGCGGAGTAGGGATCCGAGGAACGAGTGTAAGATCGCAGTTGGGATCTTAAACTCGTGGCATGAACTGCCCATCGTGAGCTGGGTGTTCTGCCATGTTGGGTACTTCGACAACAGAGCTCGATTGAGGTGTCCCTGTCGGGCTAAAATCTTGCTCGTGAAATGAAAAAATCTCGCCTTTCGCTGATGTTTGAAGGTCATGTCCGTACCTAGACACGCCTACATGGTCGAGCTCGTCACCTCGTCGGTTGGAGAGGATCGGTCGACTACTAACGCCCGCAACAGGTAAAGGACTTAGCTATAATATTGTTTTAGCTTCGCAACATTCCAAGGTCGAGGTAGTGGTTCTCCATTTAATTGTTCGAGGTAATATGCTATGGTGTTTGTAGCTCCTTGTACGCGGTACGGCCCCTCCTAGTTTGCGGCCAGCTTCCCTTCGCGAGAATCCTTCTGGTTTCTTTGCAAGACTAGGCTACTGACCTGAAATTCGCGCTTTATGACT